GTATATTTCATAAGTCCTCCGTTCCTGTAATTAGCCAATAACCATGTATATTTCATAAGTCCTCCGTTCCTGTAATTAGACAATAACCATGTATCTGTCATAAGTTCTCTCTTCCTGTAATTAGCCAATAACCATGTATCTGTCATAATTCCTCTGTTCCTGTAATTAGCCAATAACCATATTTTGTTTGGATGTACCTGTCATAAGTCCCCTGTTCCTTTAATTAGCCAATAACCATATTTTATTTGGATGTACCTGCCACAAGTCCTCCGTTCCTGTAATTAGCCAATAACCATGTATATTTCATAAGTCCTCCGTTCCTGTAATTAGCCAATAACCATGTTTTATTTGGATGTACCTGTCACAAGTATGCTGTTCCTGTAATTAGCCAATAACTATGTATCTGTCATAAGTCCCCCGTTCCTGTAATTAGCCAATAACCATGTATCTGTCATAATTCCTCTGCTCCTGTAATTAGCCAATAACCATATTTTGTTTGGATGTACCTGTCATAAGTCCCCTGTTCCTGTAATTAGCCAATAACCATGTTTTATTTGGATGTACCTGTCACAAGTCCTCTGTTCCTGTAATTAGCGAATAACCATGTTTTATTTGGATGTACCTACCACAAGTATTCTGTTCCTGTAATTAGCGAATAACCATGTATCTGTCGTAAGTCCTCTGTTCCTGTAATAAGCAAATAATCATGTATCTGTCATAAGTCCTTCTGTTCCTGTAATTAGTCAATAACCGTGTATCTGTCATAAGCCTTCTGCTTCTGAATTTAGCCAATAAAAAATGTTTTATCTGACTGTGAACTTTCCATTAACATTCTTAAAACGAGTTTTTCTATAAAATCTGGATAGTCAAGTTAATTTCGTTTTTGTTCAGGTTTAATGTTGCATGGGCTGGTGGTTAGAGTAATTGACTCGCAACCTGGTGATCGCGGGATCGAATCCCCGTCACCGAACAATCAATGATGTCATCATTTCAAAACTTGAATCACATGGCGGCAGTCAACATGGGCAGCAAAATAACAGTTAAACGAGGCAAGGAGAGAACAGATAGTAAGTAAAAATTTACTGGCAAATGTCTTCGCTATGATCAAAAAGGTAAAAATGTCTCTAATGTATAACCAGGTATGACATTACGCGATTAATCCAGAGTTAAGCTGTCCCTAATTGTGAATTACTCACAATAGGGAATGTTAAGCTGTCCCTAATTGTGAACTACTCACCATAGGGAATGTTAAGCTGTCCCTAATTGTGAACTACTCACCATAGGGAATGTTAAGCTGTCCCTAATTGTGAACTACTCACAGTAGGGAATGTGGCCAGTCAGTAGCACTCTACCACCCACAATCCATCGTCTCCGGAATCCAGAACATCCACCACATAGGGATAATCCACAAGCTTGGAAGTCCTTAAAGAAGGTTGTTAGATTTTAATACGTTTAGACAAATATGTTTTGTTACACATAATTAATACCAGGGAGTTGAATTTAATATTTGACGAGAATATTCATGAAAATGATAACCGAGCAAGTTATCTGCATGAACTATTTTACTGAAAACAAATGTTAAACTTAAACTTTACTTAAGAGACAAAACCAAACTTTCCTACAGTATGAATTTCTTTACAAAACTATCCCTCTTCTCTGTGGGAGAACTTTACTTTCATCAAATGGCTGTTTTGAAAGAAAAGAATAACATGTTTTTATTATCTTCTCCCCTCCCAACAGTCTTCTATTTTTTATCAAATAAACTTCAACCATGTGATAGGCAAAAAATAATGCAAGTTGAAATGTACCACGTAGTAAATTAATTATGTTCAGTTCTCTGAGTTCCTAAACTTTTACCCATAAACACTGTTTGTAATACTTTATTTATTTGCTAGTAGTATTCGTTACTATAACTTATATATGATGTTGTACCTTACAAAGGAAGATGAATAAAGAACAACTTAAAACTCGAATTCTATACCAATTATACTCCGTCCATTAACGCCCCCAGTGGCACAGCGGTATGTCTACGGACTTACAACGTTAGAAACCGGGTTTCGATACCCGTGGTGGGCAGACTGTAGCTAGCCCATTCTGTAGCTCTGTCCTTAACTTCGAATAAACCGTCTGTTAGTAGATAAACTATCAGATAAACGTTTAACAGCTAAATTCTCCACAAAATATAAAGATACAAAGAATCACTAGTGAAATGAAAGTATTAGTCGGTAAGAGTGGAAACCACGAGAGCTCCGGATTATTGGAAAAAGCTGTATTCTAGTTGTATTGTTATATTAAGTTCATTATTGTTTTAAAGTATTGTTCAGTACGAGTGGAAACCACGAGAACTCTGGACTATTGGAAAAAGCTGTATTCTAGTTGTATTGTTATATTAAGTTCATTATTGTTTTAAAGTATTGTTCAGTACGAGTGTAAACAACAAGAACTCTGGACTATTGGAAAAAGCTGTATTCTAGTTGTATTGTTATATTAAGTTTATTATTGTTTTAAAGTATTGTTCAGTACGAGTGTAAACCACGAGAACTCTGGACTATTGGAAAAAGCTGTATTCTAGTTGTATTGTTATATTAAGTTCATTATTGTTTTAATCATTTATTAACAATTAATTTAATTAATAGTATTGAAGCTATTTATTTCATTATATAAATCACCGTAATATCTGTAGCTATAAACCGGTTCTATATTTTCCACAGAAGTAAGGATGTAAACGGACACGTAATGAAACATCTCGAATTTTGGAAGTTTCCTGTGTTCCTCTTTTATAAACTTTTTGGGTAAGATTGTACCCAGTTTCACCTAAGGACATCTTCCTAGAAAAATAGATTTGAAAATTACTGCCACAAAAAAAACACACTTTTTTGGCTATTCAATCGAAACTAAATGATACTTATGTTCACTACGATGTATAAAATATTCCCTTTTTCTTTTCAGAATTTAATTACTTCTATTTTTATATCGATGGGTTTCTTTATTAATTTATTATTTTCAACGTTACTTTTTGCAGAAACTATAGCAGTGGGTTGGGTTGGTTAGTTTCATTTGAAGTATTCCGTTGCCAAAACATGACATGATAGAAGTTGTACAAGTATTGATTGGTTAATTCTGTGTGCCATAAAGTGATTAATTTGATTTAATTTTTAATCTCCATAAGTCATTACAGATTATTTACAACGTTTCCTCGGTTTCTCAAACAAATTAACAGTATCTGGTTCGGGACCATATTTGTCACTAGAGGGTTCTTCGTGTGCATTAACAAGATTAACATTTATCTAACGTCACACGTTTTGTTTGCTACTTCGTTGAGACGTTATATGAAAATGGTGGCCTTTATGTATGGATTTTTCTACATTTAAAATTTGATATCGTATTTTTATATATAATTTTTCGTATTCCTTGGTTCTCTGTTAACTTTAATCTGTTGGTCATCAACAGGTCAGATGGGTGGGGAAGGTGAGAGCCAAGAAGACAAGAGTGAGGCTGAGCAGGCAGAACAGGAGCGTTTGGAAGCTCTACAGGAAGCAGAAGACAGGAGGAAAGAAAAACACAGAAAACTTGAGGAGGAAAGAGAAAAGATGAGGCAGGAAATCAGAGACAAGGTAAACACGTGCTGAATATAAAATAAGCTTTTAAAATTTAGAGACAAAATTTTATTGCTTGAAAAATCATCTCTAATAGTTCTGTTCCCCGCGGTGAACAGAGCGCACATATCCAAATGTGCAGCGTTGCACTAAAACAAACAACAACAACAGGATAAAATAGAGAAACGCCTCACAGATACAATAAATGTCTGGTATGTATATATATATAGTAACAACCAGTTTAACCTTGCCTGCTACGTGTTCTCTTCCTTTGATATACACCAAACATTAAAATACACTATTACTGGAATAGTTGATAGTCAGGAGTGAAATTGGCACATTTACTGAATTAATCAAATGTTTTATCTCAATAAAACTAATATAACCGAAGCTGTTGCACGAGCATAGAAAATGATTTAGGAAATTAAAGTGGCTATTTTTGGTTTCCGTAGCTTCAAGACTTACTACGAGTTCAGTATAAGAACTTTGGCTTACGTCATACATTAAAACAATACTACATAACACTGATTCTTTCCTTGATTTAATATGTTCGTATGAGTTAAACTACAGACAATAGTGAATTAATGATACTCTACACGGAGAAAAATTCTGATCTTCCAAAAACTGTTATTTAAGATAAATAACAATGCAGTTAAAGGTATGAAAAATGGCGATCCCCCCCTCCCCCACACACACAAAATAGTGAAGGCGTCCAACCTCGACAGAATTGAATGTTTAAACTTGAGAACTTTGGGAGTTTCGTATTTGGTATTTGTGGAAAAGTTGCTCAGTTATTCTCTAATTGTGAACTACTCAAAATAGGGAATGCTAAGCTGTCCCTAATTGTGAACTACTCAAAATAGGGAATGCTAAGCTGTCCCTAATTGTGAACTACTCAAAATAGGGAATGCTAAGCTGTCCCTAATTGTGAACTACTCAAAATAGGGAATGCTAAGCTGTCCCTAATTGTGAACTACTCACTATAGGGAATGTTAAGCTGTCCTTAATTGTGAACTACTCACCATAGGGAATGTTAAGCTGTCCCTAATTGTGAACTACTCACAATAGGGAATGTTAAGCTGTCCCTAATTGTGAACTACTCACAGTAGGGAATGTTAAGCTGTCCCTAATTGTGAACTACTCACCATAGGGAATGTTAAGCTGTCCCTAATTGTGAACTACTCACAGTAGGGAATAAGGAAATGTCCACCAGTAGTAACTAATGATCAGTGTTATATAGTTACTACTGGTGTACATTTCCTTATGATCAGTGTTATATAGTTACTACTGGTGGATATTTCCTTAAGATCTGTGTTATATAGTTACTACTGGTGGACATTTCCTTATGATCAGTGTTATATAGTTAAAGCTACTGGTGGACATTTCCTTATGATCAGTGTTATATAGTTAAAGCTACTGGTGGACATTTCCTTATGATCAGTGTTATATAGTTGAAGCTACTGGTGGACATTTCCTTATGATCAGTGTTATATAGTTAAAGCTACTGGTCTCGTGATTTAAATTTTACTACAGTACAATTTATTTAGATGGGAAAGTAAGTCGCTCCTACAGATGCATGAATCGGCTCATTTGATGCATGAATTAAAGGAAATAACGAGTAGAAAAGTTAATGTAGTTATGAGCCTCCAACAGCTTCTGCTATAACGATTATATATATATATACAAGGAAATCAGGAACACATCTGTTCTTTAAGCTGTATGGTATTAAATATAACTTTTTCTTTTATAGAAACAAGATTAAATGTTGCATTCCAAATGTACAACTCGATATGATGAAGTAAAAGTTATTCAAATCTGAAGAGTATTAAAATCTAAGAAGTTTGAAACAAAACTTAACGAATCAAGAAACACCACGTCGTCAACAGCAAGGTTTTAGGTTTATTACGTGTTAGGTATAAATTAATGAATCAAGAAACACTACGTCGTTAACAGCAAGGTTTTAGGTTTATTACGTGTTAGGTATAAGTTAACGAATCAAGAAACCCCACGTCGTCAATAGCAAGGTTTTAGGTTTATTACGTGTTTGGTATAAGTTAACGAATCAACAAACTAACGACGTAAAACATCTCCATTTGACTCCATATTTTGAATTAATTTACCCAAAGGCAAATCTTTAAATGAATAGAGATGTGAAGGGTGTGTTCTAAAATTTAGTAATGGAGAGATTGATTTCAATAAGAAAATGGACAAAAGCTTCAGGATTTTGTATAATTTTCGTAAAATCAACTGTGTCGTTATTTTGTGAAATATTGATAATGTTCTAAAGCAAACTGTAAATTTTATTATTTGCTGAATAAATTAAAACTCTATGTAACTTAAGATAATTCGAACAAAACGAAAGATGACCAAAGTAACGTTAATCATCACATTAGAAACCTTGGAAAATCCTGATAAAGACAAAACTAGATAAATGTGCTTTGTTATACTTTATCTCCTTTAAAATCCAAGGTTTGAAAAGTGAAACAGGTATAACAGGCCTGGAAAAAAGTTTAAAAATAAAATAGGCACAGCAGATTTAGAATGAAGGTTTAAAAAATGAAATAGGCTTAACAGATCTGGAATAATGGTTTAATAAATGAAATAGGTTCAACAGATCTGGAATAAAGATTTTAAAACTGAAAGAGGCGTAGCTTATCTCAAATGAAAGTTTAATAAAGTAAATAGGTTTAATAGATCTGGAATGAAAGATTAATATAAATATGGAATGGTTTAATAAGAGAAACATATATCTGGTATAAAGTGACGTAGGTTAAGAAGAAACAAATACAGATATATTGAGTTAC